AATAATAAAAATACCATTTCTACATTTGGATACTTTCCATTACTGCTCCTGTTCATCTTCAGAGGAAAATAGCTCTTTAGAAATAGTACCATCTAGAAGTACGTGCTGAAAAGCGATATTGAATTGATATGTTAGAAGAGAAAGTTAGGCTCCTTTTGTAAGAATCATACAGTTCATACTAGTCTTGAAGAAAGTTGTCTCTGAATGCAGTAATTTAGCCCTGGAAAAGTGACAAACAAATAATTCCAACTAAACTAGAGAAAGAAAAGAAGTGACTTTTAATTATAGAACCTTTTTTTGATGAATTTATTTCTGACAGTTTTATAGGCTGACAAGAGAAAGCATTTTATATGCAAAAAACATTATTCACTCTCAGCTCTTAAAGCATAAAAATTGTCAAATGATTTTAATACAGTTTTAAGTTTAATGTTTATTGTCAGAAAAAAGTCCACAGCAATTACCAAGTCACATGGCCCTTAATTCTTTGTGTTTCTGACAGCAAAACCAGTAAAATATGAGCTGTGCCCAACCCTTTTACTGAACAGATTTATGACTTTTAAAAGACAGCTGTTTTTCTTCTTTCACCTGTAAGGAACTGAACTTCCAGCATGAGTGAATCACCCCTCTTAACCTGAGCAAGTATTTACATCCAGTTCTGCATCTACCCCTGAGCACAGAGCTGGGACTCCTGCACAATTAAGCACACTTCCCCTCCATAGGCATCCAGATTAGAGCAGTCATTTGTTGAAAGCAACAGCTTCACTTCCTAGCAAGCAGCCCCACTTTACCCAAAACCATGCTCTTCAGTAGAATAAGGCAATTTAATTCACAGCAGTTGCCCTCTGTCCCAAATCCTTTGGAAGTTCAAATACTTTTTCAAGGAGATAGAGGACTTGAAAATCTGTAACTTCACCCATTTGCCAGTGTTGAGATTCCCTCGTATCTGATGGGCTTTGAAAGAAGATTTTACTGCCTCTAGAACTGGGATTCAAATGAGAGGCAAGTGAACTTGCATGCTCATACATGGGGTTTTAGAAGCAGCTCCATTTTTAATTCATTCAGAGTGTTGTCAGAACCACCAACATGGCAGATAGTGATCTGATGTGATAGCCAGAGATGCTGGAAAGCAAAGACTTTGCAGCCAAGGTACCACCAGATGCCTTCACTGTGCTCTGCCAGTACCAGGGGGAGCTTGCTTTATTTCGCCTATGGGAAAGCTTGTGCCCAAAAGGGCATATTATGGCCTGGGAAGGCCATAAAATGGTACATAACTAATGATTTTTAATATCAGAATAATGAAACCAAGCTAAGAAATATTAATCTTTTTAAAAAATGTAAAGAACTAGGGCTCCGTTTCCATGGCAAACCACATCCTGCACATTATCTATCAATTGGGGATTACCATGGCATGGTAAATAGAAGGGGTAAATACAGGAGAAAGGCACTGCTTTTCTGTCTGCAGAAATAACTGTGCTGCCAGTGTAAAAGCATAAAAGTGTTCCTTAGAGCAGATAGCAAACCTCATCAAAACAGCCAGGTTTCTGTCCACTTACACCTGTCCCTTAGCTGGCCAAGCAGTGCCTCCAGCCCTGAGACCCCAAAAATTCCCCCAGTTGGTCCAAGACTCAGCATCTCTCTGCAGTAGAACTGGTTTGTATCAGCAGCATAAGTGCCTGTTCTACATCCGAGTTTTTCATGTCCTTATACCCTCACCAGCCAAGCTAAAAGCAAAAATCCCACCAAAAACCCCTCCAAACTTCCAGGAGTTTGCAAGCCCTGCTATAAATAGATCCCTAATAGGAGGCTGTAATAGGATAGAATTTATTTCCAGATCTGATGGGCTGACCTTCATCATCACTCGAGGCTCTGCTTGTCATGAATTATGGGCAATTCACTCACTAGTGGAAATAAATTGTGTTACCAGGGCTCAGTGTTGTGTCCTCCACACGAGGCACATAAATGGGCCACAGCTCTTCACCAGTGCTGCTGGGGACCAGCTTCCCACTGCATGGGTGCAAGGCCTCCTTCAGGGAGCCACTCAGCTCACTGGGCTAGAGAGAAACTGCTGTGTTTATGAGTCATTTCTGGAACTGCTGTGAAAGGATCCCAAGCCATGGCTGATGGGGCTGGTGCCCATCTACCAGCCAAGGACCAGCCCGAGGCATTGCTGCCCTGCAGCATCACCAGCCACCCTTGCATGCTGTTACTTGCCTCATCCAGATCTGGCATGGATCCATCATTCCAGTTTCAGGGTTAACTATAGGACATGATGTGGATTAGGTGGAACAACCTGAGCATTTCTCCTGCTCTCATCTCCATGTTGATCAAAGGAGCCTAACAGACACAAGAAGAGCATCAGACTCACTGCAGCCACTGACTCCTGCCTTGCTCCACCCCATCTCCACACAGGTAATGAGATAGGAATCATGAGAAAAGAGGTCATGGTGTTAATCAAGTGCAATTAAGACAAGCAAATAAAATCACTTAGCACCAAGCAGAGGCATAGAAGTGCTAAAAGCAGCGGCTGGCATGGGAAGCTCTGCTGGAGCTGGATAGCAGAGCCCTTGTGCCAGTCTGTCCTTCCTAACCACCCCCTTGCACTTCAGCACCTGCTTGTGCCACCATACCCTGGTTAGTGGGGATAAAACAGATGCACAGAGCACTCCTGAGAGCCTCTCACACCACCACACACAGGCCCTGCACACCTCCACACCCCCACTGCATCTCCAACAGCTAACGCAAACTTGACACCTTGCACAGGCATTGTGGTGGTGGGGAGCAAGGCTAATGAATGCATTTGGGCTTGCAATTAAGCTTGATTCTACAAGCACTCAGCAGTCAGCCCCTGTGCTTCCAACAGCTTGTTCCACAGTGCTAAATGGCTCTCAACAGTTCTGCTGGAAATAGTGGGAACCAGAGTGGATTCCAGTGGTCTGAAGGTCTTTCATAAGCAGTGCTGAGTTGTGAGAGCACATTGCTCCCCAGGGGTGAGCAGCACAAAGGACAAAGCAGCCTGAGGTAGAGGTGCTCCAAATAGCACCACTCCATAGAGCCACAGAGCCCATATACCTCTGAACCACAGCCAAGGAGCCAGACCAGGGAAATCCCAAGTTTGAGATGCACATCAACAAGCAGGAGAATGACATTTAAAAGCTAATACAATAAATTCTTATTAAATAAACCCTCCTCTTCATTTTGCTCTGTAACAGACCTCTGAACAAAACCAGGTTTGTGCTGCATTAAGGTAAGTAAAGCCAGCAGAAGCTCCCCACCAGCTCCCACAACTCCACCCCATGGTGAGGAGCTGCCTTCACACAGCACAGCACCCAGCCCCTCTGCAGGCTGTCAGGCAGGCTGGGAGTTATTGCCAAGTCCTGTATTTATAATGTGCTTGCCCATGCATATACAATAAAGGATTTCTCAAGCTATGCGGTGATGAGCTCCTGCGTAGCTCAGATTAGAGATGAGCTCGTGGTTAGCATTACACAATGAACACATCAAGCAGGAATTCATTATTCCACAGTAGAAAATGCGTACCTGGAATTCTCATTGAAAAGGATTGCTAAAAGCCAGCAACTTCCCTCCTCCCCACAAATATTCCCAATCCTTCTTTCTCCCAGCATGGCCTCATCCCTGCCTGCAGGGGCTCAAATGGTCAGTTTACACCACAGAAACTCATCAAAGGCAACATCCTGCATCACAGTTTATCAACAACTCATCAAAGCCCAGATCAACAAGTGGCTGAACACACAACAAATTGTAACCCACAGCATCAAAGAATAAGCCATCCATTAGCAGCAGAACTCCTGTGACCCTGCCCAACACAGCTCAGCCTCTTCCATGTGGACACTGGGGCTGTCCCAGGGCATGAGGGCACAAGGAGAGCATGCAAGCTCCTCACATTGAGAACATTTTGGCTTAGGCTTCCCAATACCAACTCATTATTGAGCTGACAGCTTTGTCATTAGCCAAACTGTTCTGTTTCCTTTTGGCCGCACACAGGTGAGTTCTAATAAGCACCCTTTCCCTCACCAGCAAACAAGCTTAGCTGCTCCCTAAAAATGCGTCCCTTTTCCAGGTCTGAAGCTACTACTGGGAATAGAAACCATAAATAACACTTCAGCACTCCCAGTTTGGTCATGAGGAAGCCAAGCAACAGAAGCATTTTCTGTGTCTCCTGATGTAGACACAGAAAATCTCTGCAAGTCAGTGGTTCAAAGCTTCATGCCCAGCTCAGGGAAAGCATCAGTGCTTCTCTGCTCCTTGAGTCAAGCCAGCTCGTGCTCGGATGACTGATGTGCTCCAGCTATTAAAGCCTAGGCAGTAAATCAAGAATTAGCCTACACAGAGTCTAAAAGAGAAAGGATTTATTAAAAGCCAGGCAGCAGGAAGAAAACAAGTTTTGTTCTATAGCTTTGTCTGTGCACAGTGCAAGGAGGAGAAAGACTGCAATAGTACAGGAGTTCAGAGAGTGAATACTTTCCATGCAAAAACCTGAGTCTTTTCCCCTAAACACACATGGGTTTGAGCCCTCCTGAAAATTGCTCCAAGCACAACTCCTGAAACACCAACCACATCAGCCTTCCATAGGAATACATCTGCCTTCTATAGGAACATTTGTCAACAGCTTCACTCAAGCCCCCAGAGCAGTCAAAAAACCCAGGTTAGACAAACTTTGATGCTCTTCAGGAAATTAATTGAGCTTTTTCCACACAGCACAGAGAACAGAAAGACAAAAAGACCATCTACTAAACATCAGATAGACAACACAACCCCAAGAAACAAAAGAAAGACACAAGCCCAGAAGACACTGCAGGCTTCCTACATTACTTACCAGTGCAGAGCAGCCTCCAGCACAGTCCCAAATGCACAGAAGAAAGGTATGATGCTCTGAGCCCCACATTTATGGGCAGCAGGTTGCCCTCCGCCCCTCAGTGGGGCGGGGCCTCTGAGATAAGAGGCCACAGGACACCCTCACCTGAAGCTAATGATGAGTATCCCTCCTCTGTGGGTGGGATGCTGGGTGTGGGATTGGTGCTGTTGGGCTCCTTGCTTCATGTTCCTGCTCAGTGTCTGTAGCACTAAGAAAAGGTAGGTTGGAAGCCAACTTTGTAAATGCCTTCTGTTGTTTTAGGAAACTCTTTTTCTAGTTATGAAACTTTCTGGATGCACAGGGACTGCTTTGAACCAGGTATAGGATGCATTCTGGTGACTGGAGGTTTAAATAGCAAGCAATGATTAATCTTGCCTGGTAATTGTCTAGCATGGGTTTCACCTTACCCTGTTGCGGTGTACCCTGAAAGACTACGAGTCTTTTCTTAGCTGTGGCCTTGAGGAGGGTGTAGGTAATTCAGTTAGTAGGGGTGTCTGGTGTGCTAGACCAAGGGAAGGGTGGCCTGAGCCTGCAGCTCTGCTCTTGTTGCTGAGCAGTTAAGCTATGCCCTGGGATGTGGGCAGCCCTGCATGGGGCTTATTCTGCTTTCTTACAAAGGAGAATGAGGAGACTCTGTTCTCCTGTCCCAGCTGGCTACAATAGCCCTGTCCTGTAGCTCTTCCTCTGCCTGGTTTTGACACACAGCTAATTGTCTAGGAACAGAAGGCTGTTCCTGTGGGAAGACATTATGGGAGCCCCGCTGTTAAGCAAGAGGCTCTGAGAACCCCCAGGTACCCACCCTGCAGGGCCACCAAGGACCACTGCAGGCAGGTGCCCTTCCTCTTTGTGCAGGATGTGCTCCAGATTTTCCTCAGAACTTTCCTGTATGCGCTGTGTGACTGATTCCCCCACCCCAAATGAGCGAGTGCCTCCGGTCCTCCTTGCACAGATCTTCTTTTGTTTGAAGTAATTTAATTTTAAATGGAGTAAAAAGAGCAGCTTATTTTTAATAATAGATAATTACTGCTCAAAGACAAAAATGTGTCACTCTCCTTAATTATTTTTGCAGAAAGCTTCTTCCCCAATATGTGTTTTTCAAACAGTAAGATACTATGAGGGTGTTTTTCCCATTTTCCTGGCTGCAGATGCTTAGTGAATCCTAATTAAAACCTTTAAGTCTTATTCCATTTACAAGGAGGAGTGTATCATTTTTCTTTTAGCTTTCTTTAATACAGGGTCTCAATGCCCATTACAAAAAAATCCAATGCATCTTTGAAGTTAGCAGCTAATTATATTTCTCCAAGTTATATATCGGGAGTTCTAGATGGGGGAAAGGCAATTACTTTTTTTTTTCCTCATTTAGCATAACAATCTCTAAAGCTTTATTGGAGCTCCAGTGAGTCATGCTATAGATCAGAGCCCAGGATGGAAAAGAGGAGGAATTTGGGGGGGAAAGGCAGGATGCTTACTCAGCTCTTCTGGGCTCCTTCCCTTGTTAGTATGCTGTCCCCACCAGGACACTCTCTAATTGTTTGTTGAATGACCGTGGTGCTTTTTGCCTCAATAACTTTGCTTGGTAGGTCATTCAGCACATTCATTACGGGGCACCTGCTAGCACTGCTGGAGCGAAGGGTCTGTCAGCACTTTACAGGAGTTTATAACTTGGCTGTAAATGTTTGTGTGGAGCCGAAAATCGTTGCATGATTTCTTGCAGGCAGAAACTGGCTGGTTCAGCCCATTTGTTACCGTGTCACTTTGCCCAGGTGCTGTCACAGCGCTGCGATGAGCAAAGCTCCTCTGTGGGGTGGGGAGCAGTGTCCTGGTGTCAGCACCTCCGGGAGTCAGGATGGGGATCGCTCTGTGGTCTGCAAGGAGGAAGTCCCCTGGGTTGGCTGCAGCTCTTGGGCTGCTGATGTGGATGCAGCAGGACCTGGTCCTGATGAGCTGCTGGCCATGCAAACCTTAGCTAGCTGCAGTTATGGGCTTCAGTTTAACACTCCCGAGCTACATCTTTTAAAAGATCTATCAGGCTTGGAGTGTCCTGCCTCTTCCCCTTTCACTGAAACAAGCTTCAAAATGCTTCCCAAAATGGGTCTGAAATTTGTGCATCAGCCCAGAAATACATGTATTCAGCCAAACTGTGGTACCCTAAGGGTCACTGTGTGATAAAGGAGTTTTGTAGGTCTTCTCATTTGTGAAAACATGAATTAAAAAAACCTCAGAGAACAAGTTCTGTAGCACATGCTGAACAGGGGCTGAGATTGAAGCCAGTTCCTCCTGGTTTACAGCTCAGCCCCTATTTCTGCCCCAGGATGAGTAGCTAAAGAGATGGGTACTTTTACACTAACCTGCACCAGGTTTGCTCTCTCTGGCAGCCAATTAATTCCCTCTGCTTCTGTGTGTGTTTTGGGTTTGGGGCTGTCCCAAATCGCTGACTTTTTCCAGAGTTGCCTGTAACACTGAGTGCAGAGCACTAACAGCAGGGAAGAGTTCCAGAAATGTTCTTTTGGAAACAAAGGGATGGAAAAGGGCTCAAAGGGAAGGAGCCCAACACGGGTCCAGGCAGCTCTGTTGGCATCAGGATCTCTTTGCAGTTTAGTTTCCTGTAAACTTTCCCCCTCTTGGCAAACTCAAGGAGTGCCTGTGGCTTGAGGACCAAGATGCCCATTTCTCACTGGGGGCACAGGGTCCCCAGCTCCCTGGTGCACCCCAGTAGCTGCATGGCCACTGTGGTTGGACCCATGCTGCTGGAGCTGGAACCTCTCTACCCTTGGCTGCTTTGCTGCTGGGCTGAAAGCACTTCCCAAGCCCCTGTCTCCTGCACACTGCTTTGTGCTTAGCCCAGGCTGCTGCTGTGCAGTGATGGGTAAATGTCACCCCTCTGACACCCTGTGTTGTGCTGAGCACTTTCCTGTGGTGACCAACCCCTGCTCTAGTAAATGAGAATGGGGCATCCCCTTCCCAGCCCTGTGGCGATGGAGTGAGCTGCTGTGGCCGCTGGGTCAGAGCTGTAGGTGCGTGTGAGGCCGCAGCTCGGAGACGCTTTGCTGCTGGGGAGCTGGTGAGAAATTCAATTCTCCACTTGGCTGGTCGGGGTGACTCGGCTTTGCTCTGCCGCCTTGTTCCTTCATTATATTTTTGGCCGATAACTGACTGCAAGCTTGTCTTGTCTGTTTAATACCAGCGCAGCGGCTCCGGGAGAGGCACCGGCTTGTCACTCGTGCTGAGAGCACACTGTATTACTCTCCCCACTTCATTTACTTTGTGGACAGGAGGGGAAAAGCCTCAAGGCGCTGCTGAGCCTGGCAGTCAGGATGCAAGGTTTCCTCTGCAGGCTGGGCGCAGTGCAGCCCTGCATGGGAAGAGATGGGGATGTGGGAGACCTGTGCAGGGGAGGCCTGAGCATGGGGCAAGCTGAGAACAGTGATTATTAAGATTAATCTTCCCCTCACACCTCTTGGAGAGTGCCAAGGAGCTCTCCTTGCAGCCAGGTCTGTGATGGACTTGGCTGCTCTTTCTCTCTGGGCTACCTAGCACAGCAGCATCTGCAGATGTGGGATGTGGTTGCAGGGGCTGGTTCTCCACCCCGTGGTGGGTGTCAGGTCCAGCTCCCAAAGAGGCTGCACGAGGATGCCAGAGCGATCTATCATCAGCACCACTGTGTCAGGGGTTGCTCTGTCCTCAGAGTGGCCCTGAACAACTGAGCTGGGTGTTCGAACCACTGCAGTTGGGTCCTTGGAGCAAGGTTTAGCCAAACATTGTGAAGTTCCCTTTAATTAAGCAGCCAGGGAATTTAAAGACTGGGTTTTCTCCATCCTGTGATAAATTAACTTCCTCCTGGCTCAGGAGGACAGACAAGTGCTCCAGATCAGTGATCTTACTGGTGCCTGGCCTCCCCTCCTCTGGAAGGAGGAAGGAACAAAGTGCATCAGCCCCTGCCCCTGCCGCTGTCTTTGGGGCAGCAAGTGGGGTGGCTGTGGGTAATGATGATGAATGGTATGATTAATGCAGGAACTTGGACCTAGAGCTGGAATTTTAGACCCTGTTCACAGAAAAATCCTGCTCCTGCTGTGTTATTTGGTGGCACTTGAGTGCAGCAGAAAGCACTGGGGTGCTCCAGGTGAACCCCCTGATTCAGGTCTGTGTTCAAGGGGTCAAAAGGCTCCTCTTCCATATGTGGCTTGGATCAGAGCTGCTATGAGGAGGATGTGGCTGTGCTGCAGAGTGCCAGCGTCCTGTGATAGCCCCCAGCAGAGGTGTGGAGCATCATGGTGGGATGCCCCAGAGTAGACCCCCCCTGGATGGTGGCTTTTGTGTCTCTTGGTGCTGTGTGTGTGGGATTCCCTGGCATGAGAATGTAATTACCAGGAGAAGCAGGATGCTGTACAGCTGCCTTTGTGTGCTGCTGTTCAGAGCAACCCTGGCTCCGTGGGGAAGGCTTCTGTTATTCCTGCTGGCCACGGGAGGGTCTCCAATTGTGTTTTGCACTAACATGCATCATCAAGAGTGGTATTAGCTAAACTGCACCCAGCAAAGCACCGCTTTGGAAAGGTGTGTGATAATGGCCGAGTCTGGAAAACAGTGGTTTAAGCACAAGGGAGCTGGTGTGGCTGTGTGCTGTGTGCCAATGGACAGGCAGCACTGGGCTGGGGTTGCTCTTCTGCTGGCAGCCCCAAGCGTGGTGAGCCCTGTGTCCTGCTGCCCATCGCAATCCAGATCCTCTGGGCACCACAAGCTGCTCATGAATGTGGCTGTGCTTCAACACAAGGTATTGGGCAAAGCCAGTTCTTGGTTTCCACCTGGGTGCTCGCTTTTTGGGTGTAAAACCTTTCCTAAAGGAACAGTATCTGCTTTTAACCCACCTTAACACACACAAATTCTCATCTGCATCCCATTGCTAAGGCAAGAAGCTGACAAAATAAGACTTTTTAATTTTTGAGCATCTAAAACTAGATCCACACATTTCTCAGAAATCACTGGCTGCATGTAACATCTGCAGCTCTGCCCACACAATGGTGGTCCTTATCCTTATGTAGGTTTTGCTTTCTTAAACTCCTTGAAATGTATTTTTATACAGCAATGTTGACCTTTTCCACCAGCCCCTATGGAGCGAGGTTGTATCTTGTGTAAAAGTCGTATCAAATGGGCCACAAAAAATCACTCTTGCTTGATTAAAATGAATAGTCTAGACGATGTGTGCATTTTCCTTCTGTGTCATTAGCTTTGTGTGAGAGCTTGCAGCAATCAGGGCTTTTATGGGAGAAATACAGCTACAGGTACTGTGAGCTGCCTTAACGGATACTAATTACAATCCTTGTAAGGATTGATTTGCAAAGAAAATTTCTATTGCCTCAAGGACAAACGTTTGTGCAAATCATATTATTGTGTATGGAGAAATTGGTAACACTTTATGAAATGGTCCATTTATAAATACTTTACTATTTATTAAATTAAATGGTGGTATAACAATCCTTTTGCTATGTTAAAATACACCAAGTGTTCTGGTTTTGCATTATTTCTGTGCTATAAAGCAGGCTGTTTAGATCTTGGTTGCTGTTGCTTGTTAAGACTACTGTTGGTGCATTTTGTAACGTGCTTATTAGACACCTGAGGAACCCATGCCATGCTGAAGGATACTGGAAAGGCATCTCGTTTCAGCACCTCCTTTCTTTGTCGGGACCTGGAATTCTAGAATAAGATGATTTTAAAGTTGCCTGTTTTCTGAAGCACGGGGTTTGACTGTGGCAAGTAACATAAACCTTGTCTGTGGCTATGTTTGACTGCTTAACTGAAGGCAGTACATGCCCAGGCCCCATAGGGAGTGGGTTGAATGCTCTTGGGACCAGGTTCAGCTGCTTTTGAAATGCACAGAGTGAGAATTCCCCAGCCAGGAGCATGCACGCTTGTGGGAAGCGTGTTTGGATTTGTCTCGGTGAGCTGCAGCACGGTGATGTGTGTGGTGAAGTGATCCCTGTGGTCCCTTGGCTCATCCAGAACAGCTCAGATAACAAATGGTGGATGCCCAGCCCTCACTGGTGGGACCAGCAGGTCTCTAACCCGCATTGCAGGAGCAAAGTGAAGGAAGAGGAGCCTATTTCTGGCTTGGTATTTCCTTCATCCCTGAATTTGACCCTCTCCAGACAGAGCTGGGACAGGCCTGCAGGTGGGAAGCGTCTTGTGCTGTCTCCTAGCCATTGGGCTGGTTTGGGTGCTGTTGCTGTGTACAAGCCAAGCATACTCATAGGTATGGGGGTTTTCAGTGCGCTCCTGACTCAGGTCGTCAAGATCTGGTGGATCAAGAGCTGCTTTCCCATTTTCCTGTGGGAACACTATTTGCATTCCCATGGTGACTGGCTCTGTATTGACACTCCCTACTGTCCACCTGGCCATGCTTCCAACATGGAAATCACGAGGTTGTTCCATTCTTATTGTGGATTTTTACTTGGAGAAACTAGAAGAGGAAGAAGCGGCACCTTGTGTACAAGTTGTATGAGGTGGCTGTGCTGGCCCTGTGATATCCCTGCAGCCCAGTTGGTCATATCTATCAGTAATCAAACACGTTAGCCCTGCATGTTAAGGGTGCTGTGCCAACGCTCCCAGTCTGACCAGTTCCATTCCTACTTTGAGTAGCTGACCTTGTCTTCTAAAGTTCTTGCCTGCTCTGGAAACCAAGTGGACAAGACATCTTTACCGAGCTAGAAATTCCTTTTGAGTGTACCCTCTTTAATTTATGTTCCCTCTCACTTCACTGCCTGCAGCAAAACCCATTAATGGTGCAGTTTGTGACACAACTGAAGGCTTCTCTAATGGGCAGCTCTCCTGCAATCCCACTGCGCTCTGGCTTCGGAGGAATTTGCTTGGCGTTGTGGTGCTCAGCTTCTCCCCCTCCATTTCCCAGGCTCCAGAGACTAATCCTTCCTTCGGCTGGTTTTGCTGCTGCTATGGCAATATTTTCTCCCCCATAGTGGTAATCATGCAATGGTCTCTGAGAACAGCAGGAGAAGCGGTGCCTGTTAGATGCATAAAAGGTAAGATGAACTACATGTCATAAAACTTTTTAAAGTTCCTTTTTTGTGTTTGTGCGGGGGTTATTTTATATGGCTTTTGATATGAAGCTAAAATTGCACATCAAAAAGGATAATGCATCTTTAAGCTGTTACAATGACTTCTAAATTTTTCATTTAATGTCAGTGAGGAAAAAGCCCCCTCAGTTGGCTGAGTTACGTTGGTGAGATGGCTGTTTCATTCCATAAAGTGTCTGCAGTGGATTTGAACAGTAGGAAATCCAAGGGTGATAAATAGCTATTTCTAAGTAAATTTCATGCAATTGCCCTTTGGTTAAAGTCTTTCCTCTCAGCACTTTCCTGTGCACATAGCCCAACTAATAATATTCAGGAGCAAGTGCTTTCCAGTGTGACAACTGATTGCACTTTGAAGCAGTAAATGGCTGATTTCATAATTGGTATAATTTTTCACAAGTACCTGAATGTCATATACAGAAAGAATAAGCAACCTGGACTTAATATGGGAGCTTTTTCAATTCTCCTAAAAATCAATAATGTATTAAACCCCTCTAACTGATTAAAATAATGTGAACCCTGAGTAGGTTTTGTGAGGAAGGCAGGTTTCTTCAAGGGTGGCAGATTTATGGCAAAAGGGTTAATACATGGGGAGAACGGGGATATGTTACAGATGGAGACCGTTTTCCTAATTAAACTTTTATCAAGGTTTTCCTGGTTTGAATTGTTTCACTTAGTGGGATGGAAAAGAGCATTTCCTTTAGTGCTCAGGGCGGCACTGGTGTGGGATGCTGAGAGCACTGTCCTGGCAGGAAAGATTTGGTTTATAAATACAGTATCCATTGGAAAAATTCCAGTGGGTATCCATTGGAAAAATTCCAGTGGGTATCCATTGGAAAAATTCCAATTGGTATCCATTGGAAGTGCATTTTTCCAGTCCAAAAATCACATGCAGGCTCCAGAGGATCCCTCTGCCCTGTGACACAGGATGATTCTCCAGTGGGTCTCTATATGGACCGTTGCTCTATACAGACCAGCCTCAGAAGAAGACTGCTGCAGGATTTATCCCCATGTGTGGGGCTGACATTTGTACAGGGGCCTCTTTGCATGGAAAAGTTCAATTAGTGTCACAGTGATACGGATGTTGTTAACAGGGTTACAAAAAGTCTCTCTGCAGGGGGATGAGCAGAAGGTTATTATTTTCCCCTCCAGGATTTTAAGATTTCTTGGTTCTTTAAGACTGTTGAGGAAAAATGTTTGAAAACCTCTTTATAAAGGTAAAGCAAAGATGCATTTTGATGGATGTGCAGGTGGGGAGGAAGCTGCAGAGGGAAGGTGAGGGCTGCAGGTGCACAGCACCCAGGTTGGTTTGTTACAGGTACAGCAGCACCCACTGACCATCGCTGGCAGTGCCACTTAGGGTCTGTATTTGAAGGATCAGAGCAGTAGGGTGCACATGAGGAGTGGGAAGATGAATTAAAGAGATCACTTGTATTAAAGCCTGGGCAAGCTGCTAAAGCTGATGGTACTGTGTCAGTCCCCAGTGGCACAGGCATCCTGACAAGGAGGCACTGTGTCCCTCTCACTGCGGAGACATGTTCCAGGTTGCCACTGTACTGGGCAGCCAGGTGGGAGTGTGTATCACTTCCAGACCTGACACAGCATCCTTGGCTCCCCCCAGGAAGGGCATTTTCCTTCCCAGGGTGGTCACGTGCAGGTGAATTGAGGAATCTCTTTAAACTTCACTTCTCAAGATCACGATCAGACATCTTAAGCTCTGTATTACTCACTTTGTCTATTGTTTCAAACTCATTTCCTATTTTCCAGCTGAGGGACTCTGCCAGAAGCACTCTTTCCCAGAGATTAAAACAATTTAGGAAGCAGACACCCAATTCCTTTCTTTGGATAGTAGGAAAATTGGGTCTTTGTGAGAAGCAAGCAAATTTTATTATCAACAGATAGTTTGCTATTTAACTATCCTTAAGAATTCTTCAGTGTTTATGGACTTTTACTTGCTGCCCTGAGCCAAAAGGAAAACATGATGCACACTTTACAGAGGTCCTCTGGTTGCTGCTGTGTTCAGTCCTGTGCTTGCTTCCTGGAACCTCTGTGGGACCAAGGGCATCATGGAGAGTGGTATGGAATGGGAATAAAGATGATGGGAAAGGGATGCAGGAGGAAGAGTTCCAGGTTCTCCCATGCATGGGCACAGTGCTCCACATTAGGGGGGACCAGCCTGGGTGAGCTCCACATGGATGCTAATGGGGGTGTTTGTGCTAGGGCTCAGCCTCTGTTGGTGCTGATGTGGTACCATGCCTGCTCAGAGATGGGGATGCTTTGGGTCACATAGTCGCATGTGCTGATGCCATGTTCATTTTGCAGCTAGCATTGCCATTACCAAACACCAAGTATTAGAATGTGAGCAGGATTGGGAAGAAAGAGGAGGGAAGAACTCAAATACCACAGGTCAGAGAGTGGCTGTGAAGCTTTTGTAGTAGCTCTGTTCTGTTTAAGTCTGGTTTCATCCCACCAGGAAAACTATTTTGCTTTGAGTCTGCTGGTGGCATTGCACTGCTACACTGTGGTGTGTGCTGTGTCTGTATCCTCCAGTGTTTGCAAGGAGGCCAAGGGACATGTGAAATAGCATTTATGTCATTAGCTGTGGCTCTCATTGATTTGTATCAAAATAGCTGTTTTAAATGTAATTACCACTAATTTGTGAAAGTGTGCCATTAGATATGTAAATTCATTGGCTAATGGATGCACGTGGCAGATTACAGTGCATGGGATGATGAGGGATAAAGGAATTGGAACCATTTCTCACCTTGTTAAGCAGGTTCCCAGGGGATGGGTTTTGGTACCTGGGTGCATTTCCTTCATACAGGGTGCAGGCCACATGGGATCTGGAGTTTTCTTCCCAAGCAAAGGTGCACATCTTGCATTTGTGTGCATTAATGATGGTGTGGGAAATTCTGCAGGCCAGGAAGACAAAGGGGGATGGCTTTTAAAATTATACAAGGATCAAAAAAAAATCATGGAATCATTCATCAGGATTGCTGTAGTTCTTGACCACATAGTCAATGATTTATTTAATCTTAATATATTCCACAAAGAGTCCCCATATTTCCATAAATATGTCATATCTACCTAATACATAGTAATGAACCTGCTCCAAGGGTAAATAAATAAGATCTAAGCTCAGCAAGCCAATGTTTATCAAAGGCAGATATACAGATATTGAGTCCTTTAAAGTACCATTCTTCACAGCAATCACAGCCAAGTTAGGCAATTTATAACATGTCAAGTCAATTAGAAATCCCAGTGGGCTCAGTGTGAGCCCAGGCATGGAGGGGGATGGTTCTGAAGAGGTGGGTATTGCCATGTGTGTGCAAGTGGGTATGAGCATGCTGGTGCAGCGTGGATGTGATACAGCACCTCAAACCCTGTGGGACAGCACTTCCACAAACACTGCAGAGCTATCGGGGGATCTTCTCTGAAATATTGGTCTGTACAGAATCAATTAGGTGGGAAAAGAGCTTTAAGATCGAGTCCAACCATTAACCCGGTACTGCCAAGTCCACCACTAAACCTAAGTGTCACATCTGCAGGTCTTTTAAATGTCTCCAGGGATGGTGATTCCATCACTCCCCTGGGCATCCTGTTCCAGTGCCTTTCTGGGAAGAAATTATTCCTAATATCCAATCTAAGCCTCCCATGGCACAACATGAGGCCATTTCCTCTTCTGTTATCTGGGAGAAGAGTCCAATCCCACCTTCCAGGTGATGTAGTGTATGAGAAGGTCTCCCCTAAGAGGAGAGACTGAACACCCCCAATTGCCTCAGCCACTCCTCACAGGACTTGTGCTTCAGAGCCTTCACCAGCTTCGTTGCTCTTTGGGCACATGCAGTTTTGTTTCTAGGACTGTTTTCATGTAGGTGTTTCATAGGGGGAACCCTTAGGTTTCATATATAGAAGGATTTGCTGATTTTTGTGTTGAGAATTGTTTATTGTGAAAAACTGAAATAGTTTCAAACAGGTAATTTTACTTGGACTCAATTTTTCTTACTCCGTTATTTCATGGAATTATATGTAACAGTTCCTAACATGATGTAATACACTAGTCTAAATGTTTTTATACAAATACATTGAAAATGTGGTTGCAAGGGGAAAGAACTGACTTTTTTTATAGTTTGCTCCTTTTTAATCTTATTTTCTAGAGCAAAGTATTTCCTGTCTGTGTTGTAATTAGTTTGACAAAGTCAATAATAATAGAATATTCTGATTATGTCAATATGACATGTAATATTATGCACTTCTGCTACTATTATGCATATTATGACATGACTTGACATGATATGACAGGTCACATTATGCGCTACTCCTGATGTCATAAAATAATGTGAAATAATGAAAACAAATTTTGAAATGAAAAATTTTGAAATGAATTAATGACTTTCCCAGAGAGAAATTCCCAAGCAAGTCCTCTTCATTTCCATTTTTCAAAGTTTGTTTCATTTTCACCTGCAAGGCAAATGGCTTCTGAAGAGTTAGTGCTTCCCATGAGGATGGAGCCCTGGCTTTCCATCAGGTTGTGAACACACAGCTCGCTCCTCAGCATCCCTTGTGATCTCTGCATCCGTGAGCCTGGCATGTGGTGGCATGTCTGCTTCTGCACATGCACCATGTTTGTGTGCGACGCTTTGGGCTCCCATGAGCAGGGGGGTGTGTGATGGGTGCTGACTCATCTGTGCTGTGGGATGGCGATCACAGTGGGTCACTCAGAGCAGGAAAATGTCAGTCCTGCTGGTCCCAGTGTACCAGATGTGAAAGATCAAATATTCACAGAGTATTAACACAAGGAAAGGAAATATGTTTGTTTTTTTTTTTTGCGTTATAAATTAAAGCATCTAGTCCTTGCAGTCACAGGGGTTGGGGCATTAAAGGAGAAGTGAGTGCATGGTCCCCATCTCGGGGTTAAGGTGCTCTCCTATTAGGGGTCATCTGCCTGGTGCCTGTCAGCTCTGCTGCTGCCTGCTCCAGGCATTCATGGAGGAGGTGAGTTACTCCACTTTGCCCCCACACAAAATATTTTATTCCTTATTTCAGGCTTTGCTGCCTGCTTGTGGCTTTGCTGACCCACAGTAGGCAGCTTTTGTGTTGGGTTTTAAAACTTCTCAGAGGAGGATGTAGAAAATGATGGAGAACAGGGATGCATCCGGCAAAAGAGGTGATGCGGGTGATGAAGATGCTGGCTGACACAAGACTGGCACATGTTTTAGTTGTGAGCTTCTCATGGGAGCTATACAGCATGCTGAGCCTAATTTATATTCATTTTTACAGGGATACAGTTTGGAAAACATAACAGGCTGCTGGAGATATGAATGCTTATAAGCCTGACTGTCCTCTTCTTGTGTCCAATGTTTCTGCACAGGTGTAGATTCCCTGTGCAAATCACTGGGGAAACGTGGCACTTGCTGACAGGTAGGAGTACCAGTATCCTGGAGACTAAAACGGGAATCAGACATGGGCACTGGGGACCGTAGGCTGTGCTCACTGCTCTCCCGCCTGTGAACCAGTCAGATAACACAACGGCTGGGATCCAGATTCATTTTTAATGAAATACTTTTTGCAACAATCCTACAGCAGCCCCAAATGGTGGCAGATAAGAGGACTGCCAGGTGGAAGAGCTCCTCCTGCCTCGGCTGCTTCATGAGCCCCTCTGTAAAGGGAGCCCCTTAACCATGGCTGTGAGGTGCAATAGTGATAGGGGCAGTGAGGAGGGATGCTGTGGGATGGGGTGAGGGTTGGTGATGGCTGAAGAGGAGCAGTGTTAGTGCTGGTGAGCAATGTAAAGCTGAGGAAGGGAGAGTGTGGGTTCTGTGAGGACCCCACAAAAGCCAGAGGACAGGGCAGCCCCATGCCTCTCACCCTCTGCCTGCTGTGGTCCTGCACCCAGGCTGGTACCCATGGGTCCAGGCAGAGACTAAGAGGATGCTTTGGACACCCTGCCTTCAAGAAGGGAGCATCTCTGCCCTGGGTTTGTTTGCCTCCCCCCAGTGCCATTCAGGACCCTGCCCTGGTGGCCTGGAGGATGCTTGGATCCCAGGAGCTGGCCTGCAGGGTTGTTCCTCACCTGGCTGCAGTCGTGTTGGAGCCCTGCAGAGCCTGTCTTCCCTGTGCTGGGGGCTCTGCCCTTAGCACATGGGATGGACAATGCTGCTGACAACTCCTCCCAGGCACAAGGGACCCTGGTGATATAAGAAAGGTCATTCAGGGACCTCAGCAGTGTCATCCTCAAATGGAAATGTCATTTTTTATTATTCAGTGCTGATAGAGAGCTCAGAATAAAGGCAGCTGATGGCTGGGAGAGCTTCAGCCTTGGATGATGCCACCTTTGCTGCCTGTTCCTCCTGCCTCCCTGCCTGCACCATACCCTGCTCTGGGCATGGAAATGCAGTCTCAGAGTGGAAGTTATCTCACGTTGCAGACTTGTGCTGGAGCATTGCTTCCATCTCCATGAAAGCAAATGAAAGGGGTGTGATCCAAATTGCGTTTCCTCTCGCAGCCTGGAGTATGACGGCACATTAAAGCCGGTAATATTCCGCTGCTGCTCTTTTGCATGATTTTTTAATTAAAAAACTATGGAGTAAACAAACATTCTGCTCTGGAGTAGCCCTGCAGAGACCCATCGGTGAGCGCGTTTCCATCCCTGCACTTCTTCAACAAAGTTTATCTCTTCACCCCACCAAGCAAAACCACCCTCACATCACCCACCCAAACAGTTAGTATTGGGTAAAAGTTTGAAGTGAAAGGCAGCTGGCAACCTTCTCCAGCCCGTGAAATGATATTAACATTTTATTATTCTAAGGTGAGCTTTTTGAAAGGGAATTTTAAATGTTACCCTGCTGTTCCTGAGCACAAAAACCTTTAATTTTATGCAAATGAACAGCGAGGAGCTGAGTGCTTAATGTAAACGAACGTTTTCTTTGTAGGAGAGGTTGGAAAAGGGAAGAAGGGGGGAGAAAAAAATAATTCCCAGGGATTCTTTAATTGCTGTCTGAAATTATGTAAATCCCAGCGCTAGGCAGAACGCAATTATCCCGTGCCCCTCTCTGCCAGCGCTGCTAATGTCTAACAAAATATCGGTGGGTGACATTTAGTTGAGGTAATGCAAATGAGAATTAATTCTTTTTCCAAGACAAAGGGCAGCTAAAAGATCACCTCGTTCCTACACGGCAAAGGGGGGGGGGGCAGAGCCAGAGGGTTCTGCTGCAGAGGTGGCACCGGAGGGCACCCAAAAGTTGGGTTTGTGGCTCATAGGGACAGTGGGGCCCAGGCCACAGCTTGAAAGAGCTTCTGTGTCTGTCGGAGGAATTGAACTCTTCCTTTGGGGGGGTGTTTGTTTGTTTTCCCTTTTAATTCATGGTCATTCTGACACAGGGGCAGGGTGGGAACCGTGATTGAAACCCCCTAATGGCTCTGCCTGCTGTTGGGTAAAGGCGGGCTGTGATTTATCGCCTACTTGTGCTGATAACTAGCAATAATTCTATTAAATATTCAGAGTGAGGCTTTTTGCAACACAATTATCAAAGGGGATTTGTTAGTGCAGAAATGCTTCCCGAGCACAAAAAGGTGCTGCAGGGAAGGGGCTGCTTTGTAAAGGGGTTTCCCTTGCTGCTGCTTCAGCCAGGGTTGGGGTCGCCTCCACATGTGGAAGGTGTGGGGATGGTTCCCATTGTTGTAGTGTAAATCAAAGAAATCACACAGAAATTTTCCTTCTTTTCTCTTTGTTTTCCTTCCTGTTTCTCACTTCTGCATTTCACAGCTCCCTTTGCTTCCGAGGCCACACCTGAGTCTTTGGGACTCTGCTCGCCTTTCAATAGGGAAAAGGAAACACCAGTGGGAGCTGGCACAAGGCAGGGGAGACCTGTGTGAAGAGTGACAAACTATACGTGTGCTCAGAAGGCTCCGGATCAGGGTAAGAAGTGCTCATGGAATTATCCTTTGAAATGTACACTCTCTGCAGGGAGGCCCCGGGGATCATCCTTGCTGCAGGAGATGGGCTGAGTTGCACCATCTGCTTGGGATTTAGGGCAGGCAGAGCTGTGAAAATATGAATTAAAAATACAGAGTAGCAGGAAGTAGCTTCCTCTTGCCCTGTCCCTTTGCAATTACACCAAGTAAAGCTGGATGGCTGGTGCCACCTGCGTGCTGCATTGTTCCCTGTGATGGGGTAAGCAAGGAGCCCCGGACCCCTAGACCTGCAACACAGGCTCTGCTGCCCATCATCAGTGTGGATGCTTTGACAAGGCTCAGATGACCCCATTTTCTGTACTTGGCTCTTCCTGCATCAGCTCCGCAAGGTCTTGGTAAGGCAGAAGAGGGGCTGGTGCTCATGAAGAGCCCCTGGATCCACAGGTTTCCCTGTGCAAGTGTTGCCAGCAGCCTGTGACTCACTCTGTGGTGCTGTTGATGAGTGTAGGAGCTCCAGTGCCGAAAGAGGAATGGATGTATCATCTGTTTCTCATTGCATTCTCTTCTTTTGAATTGTTGGAGCTAGTGCATTGAGAAATGTGTTCCCCTGATGCCCATGCCATGACCACCGGCCTGCCCAGATCCTCCCCAAGCCATGCTTGGCACCCAGAGGGGCTACACACCAGTGCACTCCTTTTGTGCTGACACCAACCAACAGGACTAAGGTGAGGTAGGGCAACTGCAGGCAGAAGCTCACCCGTTGACTGCAGGATAAGCTGCACAGATATAGGCTGTCCTTGTCCTCCTAAAATTTATAATCTTTATAATCTAAGATTTAGACTCTTCAAAGCTTTATGCCTGTCTTTAACCTGTAGCACATGCATAGTCTCAGTGGGATTTCTCATCTGCTAAGAGTTAAGCATGTACATAAATCTTTGCAGGCCGGGGGCCTCAGGCATTCCCATGCACACATGCACACACATTCCTGTGCACACGCGTAATGGAACAAGCACCGTGCGCGGGGCTGTCTGTGTCGGTGCATGGAGGCATGCCGAGCCCTCGATGCTCGCGCCAGCCTCCCCAGTGTTTCTTTCCCAAGCGTTTTGGATGCCATGGAGGTGTTGAACTTCTGACATCACCTTTAGCAAATTCCCACTCTGTGTCTGTGCCCCTGGGAAGCAGGGGGAGGATGTCAGCAGGCAGTGATTGTGCCAGAGGTGGGTGCGAGCAGGGAGCAGTCATGCACAGTGCAGGCAGCATTTGGGTCAGAGTGGGAACAGAAGATAGCTCAGGAAAGCACTGGTGTGCCAGGTACTTGGCATGCAAAGGAAAGCATGTCAGAGGCTGGCTGTGCAGCAAGTCTTCCCCTCATCTCCTTGCCCCTGGGCTGCTCCCTCACAGACATATGGCCCAACTGGTCTATTGCGGCTCAAATGCTGCTGTGAACATTTGCTACCAGGTTCTATCACATCATTTTCCTTTTCCTCGGTGCAAACTGCTCCAATGTGATCCAGAATTATAGCAATGTAAGAAACCAGGGCAGGTTTTTCATGGACTGGTAGGAATGATAAAACAGCTTGCTAGCCACAGCTCATCCTTCAATAAATGGTGTTTGTGGGGTGTTTTTGTATTTAGCAGCACAGTATTTGCAGGGGCCTGGTCTGTGAGACGTCACTGCTTTAATTTCCATGCAGTGGTTTTTGCCATCAAACAACAAAAGGGCTACATCTCACACTTAGAATCATCCTTGTGAAACCCTTCTTCTTTTTGCCCTCCTGTAATGTTGCTTTAAGTCAAACGATGCAACCTTACATGAGCTCTTTCCACTTCATATTTGCTATTTGCGAAGTGAATGGATAAAGCCTCTTTAATTTGGGGGTACAAACTCCAGGCAAAGTGAGAAGCAGCATCTTCTGCATGTCTTGTGTTCTGCAACGTTCACTTTATTAAGGAGAAAGCTGCATTCTATTCCCTAAACCATCATCTGCCTGCTGCAGGAAGGGACGCCGTTAAGCAGCAGGCACGGTGAAGCTGGCAATGTGCTGCGGGGCCGCGCTTGCCCCGCGCCGTGCGGCTGCCTGCGCCCGCAGTGGCTCGGGTCAAGTGCTATTTGTCAAAGGCAGCCGTGGCCGCGGCCCCAGGCAAAGTGCTGATCACAGCACAGCACCCTCTGAACTGACCCGGGCTTTTAGCCTTTTCTGAGAAATATTTACAGAAAGGTCAGCAAATGCTTTGTGACAAGATGCTAGCGCATCCCTACCCCGCTCCCTGCCTCGCCCCACGCGCCAGGCACACAGCAAACCAGGACCTCAGGTCCCTCCTGCTGACGTTTCTTCCTTTACATCATACAAACTCTGCTACAAGCCCCTGCACAGGCAGGGACCTCTTTCTGTCCATAACCCCCTCTGTTTCCAGAGGATGCTTTTGCATCAGCCAAATTATTTTCCTTGTGCCCCCACAGCATTGGCTTGTGCTGCGTGAAGAAAAACCCTTCTTGCCACGCTCTGATTGTCCTAACCACAGCCTCTGCTGCCCCAGTCCCCATCCCTGGTACACCACCACCTCTGAGAGTCAAGAATTGGGAGCTATGGTTGAAAAAGAAGGAACAGGACCTGTTACTGCAAACTGCTGGCAAGGAGGATGCTGCTGCAGTGGGGTTATGAGCAGGATGCTTCGTGCACTGCACCGTGGCAGCACCAGCTGCCTTTTCCTGATGGCACCAGGTACCCGGGGCTCCAGAGCCAACTGCATTTGCCCATCCTATTGCCAGTGATTTATTCCATCAAAGATGCTTTTTCTGTGCTCAGTGCAACTGTGTCCAGTCAGCCTCAGGTACTGGGCACTTGCTGACCTGTCTGCTGGCTCTGTCTTTACCTCCCCATTCCAGAGTCAGCGGGGTGAGCTGCTCATCCTGGCAGCATCCCATTGCTGCCCACTGTGAGGCAGACAGACAGAGCAGCAGCAGGAACCAGTCACTCTAAACAGATTTACTAGCTAGAAAGTTCCTTGCAAGAAAAATAGAGCAGTGAGGGGCACATGGTCCTGAGGAAGAAACAGGCTTAACTCCCCTGAGCCCTCCCTGCCCTGACATGGCCCGGGTTTCTAAGCAGATCAGAGTAAAAACCTCCTGTAGCTGGGTAATTCCGCCTCTTTCCGATAAGCCGGTAACCCCATTAATAGAGAGTCTGGCATGGAGGGAGCTGTGCTGGGAAAGCGCTGCACCTCACCCTACACAGCAGATTAAAAAGGACTTAATCACAGCGCAGCCACAAAGTGCACTACAGGCATTATTCCTCTGAAATAAAATGTTATATACAGCCTATCTGAGAGCGGCACAAAATAAATACTTTTAAAATCTATGCTTACTGCAGGGTTGGGATTTTTTTTAATTTTATATTGGTGGCTGAGTTCTGCTCTTGCTCCAAAGGATTAGAGGGATAATTCCATTACAATTTAGTAACAAGATTAAAAGAGCCAGTTATCCATTTATGGGGGTCTATGGAAACGAGCAGTGGCTTCTGGAGGTCTCAGGCTCTGGGTAGGTGTATCACTCACATCACAGACACATCCAAATCAGGTTAAAGCATAGGCAGGACGTGCCCGAGGTGAAAAGGTCTCTGGGGCCACCT